TTGGGCTTCTCTCATCATTCAAATTCATTTGTGAGGCCTGGACTCCCCTATTTACCTTGTTACGGCATTTATCCTTTTTGTTTTATTCATTTTCTTATCTCTCCTTCCAACTACAAGTTCTAGAGCAGAGACCTTGTCTAATTTGTTCATCACTGGGCCTGGAATATTGCATAAAACAGGTGTTTAATAGATAGCTGAATGAATGTATTTGCATTTCATGATTTGTTGAGACTGAACATGTTTCATTATTTTCTTTTGTGAACTGCATGCTCATATTGTTTGCCAATTTTCCAATTGGGATGTCTTCCTCTGATTATAAGAGCTCTTCAGATACTACACATAGTAATCCTGTGTCCATTTTGTGTCTTGAAAATGTTTTCACAGTTTGCATTTCCTTTTTTCATTTCTGTTCTCTTTCGTTATGTAGATGGTTAAAATTTTTAGGGAGTCACACGTGTCAACTTTTCCAGTCATGCTTTTGGGCTTTAGGTCAGTCTCAGGAATGCCATCTTCACCCTCAACATTATAGTTCATCTCCTTTATCTTCTGGCGTTTCTGTAATTTTATTTTTTATGTCATGTCATTCATTCCTTTCAAATTCAGTGTGCAGTGCTAGGTACAGATCTAATTTCTGTTGTTGTTCTTTTCAAATGTTCCCAGTATCATTTATTGAATAATTACCCTTTCCCGATATACATATTAAAAAATCTATAGTAATTATGATTGTATGATTTGATCTTGAGGTATCTGCTTGCAGTTAAAAAAATTTTTTTTTAAACTAAGTATTCTGCTTTCCATTTCCCCAAAAGCTCAAGTAAATCATGGCTTACAAGTTTCTAAGTAGTAGAGCTACCTCATGATATACTTAGAAAGCACATTAAAACAGAAACACGGTTTTAGAGAGAAAATATTTAATCTATTTCACGAAAAAAATGTACAAAGCGTTAGAAAAGAGGCATTAGGTTTCCATGTACAGTATAAACACATTCTCACCTTCTATGATCACTTGTATTACACTTCTCCTGACTAGTAAAGCCACTGCACTCTCATTCCAATCTTCTGTTAACACATGCACTTGAAAAAGTCACCGAAAAGTAGTCTTGAAATACATGTAGAAATACAATGTTGTACAAAAATATATTAATCTGTCTACATGAAACACTTAAAAATGCACACCAAGTACATTCTTTTAGAACTAGACTACGTCTAGAAATATCAATATATGAACTTGTAAATTGGCTTTTTGCTGCATTTTTAATCACCGGAGGAAAAAATATAATCAAGCCTTTGGAATGAGAAACATGAAGTTAGCACAGCAGACCAACTCTATTCTCAGAAATGAAACCATAAACTTTATCCATACAAAAGATAGGAAAGAGTCTGAGTTTCTAAAACTGACATATTTATGAAATGTTATAATTTGAAACTGCAATCACACAGCAAACTTTCATTTGTTCATAATCCACATGTAAAGAGATGACAATTACAACATTTCTAATTGTTTCTCAATGCAACTTAACAGCGAGAATTTAAACTTAAAAAAATTAGCCTATGTAAAGTATAATTAGGAAGGTATACCTCAAAGTAGAGAAAATTAATTTGAACTCACATGGGGTATTGTTCCCCTCCTTTGAAAACTGAGCTATTATTAAGAAATGCTAGGGAAAAAAATACTACAACAAAACTTGTTCTGCCGTATCTGTTATTTATATAACCATAATTTCTCACCAAAACTTCTACAGAAACTACTATTGTTTTTAGTAAGAGGGAGGCCTAAGGTGTGGAGAGGAAGCGATGGTTTATTTTTTACAGGTATATTTTGATGATGAATATCACAGGCATGCATGAACAATACATTCCAACTCTATACAAACAAAAACTTGCTAGCATTTTTAAAAGTGTAATAAATACAACAGGCAGCCCATCCTGCACATGCTCAAAGAATGAATATATTTCCAGTGGCACTAAGAACAGTGACTACAAATTCTAAAAACAGAAGATAGTTGTAGGGCAGAGTCCTTCTAAATGTTCAGAGAGGAATGTGTCTATTTTTCCCATTAATTAGCATAATTTCTCAACTAACGTTTTGCCCTGTTTACCCCAACATATATTTTTCATGAGCTTAGCACACATTAGATAAATAAGGAATAACAGGCCAGGTATGGTGGCTCATGTTTGTAATCCCAGCACTTTGCGAGGCCGGTGGCTTGAGGCCAGGAGTTCGAGACTAGTCTGGGCAACAAAGCAAAACCCCATCTCTACAAAAAAATTTTAAGAAATTAGCCAGGTGTGGTGGCACACACCTGTGGTCTTAGCTACTCAGGAGGCCAAAGCAGGAGGATCCTGAGCCCAGGAGTTCCAGGCTGCAGTGAGCTATGATCATGTCACTGCTGCACTCTAGCCTGGGCAACAGAGCAAGACCCTGTCTCTTAAAAAAAAAAAAAAGGGAAGGGAAAAAAAACTATTTAAATTGGGCGGATTTAAATCTGAGCGCTGATTTTGTCTACTTCGCAGCATTAGTTTGAGGTCTCCTTTCATTTTATTTCAAACGGAAATACATAACCAAGTATATTAAAAGCAAAAGGTAGTAAACTATGTCCATATTACTCACACTTTCAAGTTTTCAACATTAAAAAATAACTGACCATTTGCGTAATTCTATATCACTTAAAGCCAACAAGCCTGTAGTAAGCTGCTGCTTAAAGAGGAAGGAATTCATACCATGCCCTGACAGTTACAAGAATGCTTTCTGGTATAAGGCTATTTAGTGTTTGTTCGTGCTTGTTTAGTGCTTTTTAGTATACGGCTGCTCGTATAGGTGGGGAAGTATGTTTGCAAATAGTTGCAATACTTTCCTTTTGGTCCTGGGGCTTTCAACAGAACAAAATGTCCTTTGGTACACTTGAAAGCGACATGCCAGTGAAGAAGAGGGACACACCAAAACAACCAGGCAAACATTCCACAGCGAATGTCTATGGTTTTCACTTTCCAACTCCAACCCTTGAGAAGAATTAAACCAAACCAACACTCAGAAACAGGTGGGGTGCAATCAGAAAAGCCAAGTGAGGCTGCCTCCTGTTCCACCTTACCCAGGCTCTGTGACTGGGGCAGCCTTCTGTAAGCCAGAGGCAGCCAGGCGAACCTCTAGCACTCATAGGTGAAGGGGCCAGGGTTTGTTAGTCACGGAATACATATAGCTAGATTAGTAAAGCCTTTGACTTTTAATACTATTGCTTATATTATCCTATTGCAAAGACATGGGAAAAAAGCAAACTCTTAATTATTCAGGACAAAATAGTGACATGATTATTGCTAATACTTCATTTAAATAAGCTGTGCCACAGGGGGAAGAAAAGGTAATCTTGGTGATTAACAGTGGATTCTACTTTTAAAATATGACACTGTTATCACTTTCTTATTATCACATTTCCTTATGGATTTCAGGAGAGGGAGTTTATAAGAAAATTAACAAATTCCTTACTGTACCATACTACTACTTAATTAGCACAGTGAGAATGAAAAGATAAGTCTGCATTCTGTGTTTACGTGATCATGAATCATAATCATTGGTACATAGCATTTTGCTTAATTTCTTTTAATAGTACTTAGTGCGCTGGGCAAAGTGGCTCATGCCTGTAATCCCAGCACTTTGGGAGGCCAAGGCAGGCAGATCACCTGAGGTCAAGAGTTCGAGACCAGCCTGGCCAGCACGGCAAAACCCCCACATCCACTAAAAATACAAAAGATTAGCTAAGTGTGGTGGCAGGCGCCTGTAATCCCAGCTACTCAGGAGGCTGAGGCAGGAGAATTGCTTGAATACAGGAAGTGGAGGCTGCAGTTAGCTGAGATTGCGCCATGGCACTCCAGCCTGGGCAACAAGAGCAAAACTCCACCTCAAAGAAAACCAAAAACAAAACAAAACAAAAAAATAGCAAGTAATGCTAGGCTGGCTGTGGTGGCTCAGGCCTGTAATCCCAGCACTTTGGGAGGCCAAGGTAGGTGCACCACATAAGGTCAGGAGTTCGAGACCAGCCTGGCCAACATGGTGAAACCCTGTTTCTACTAAAAATACAAAAATTAGCTGGGCATTGTGGTGGGTACCAGCAGTGGTGAGCGCCAGCTACTTGAGAGGCTGAGGCAGGAGGATCACTTGAACCCAGGAGGCGGAGCTTGCAGTGAGCTGAGATTGCACAACTGCACTCCAGCTTGGGTGACAGAGTAAGAGTCCATCTCAAAAACAAACAAACAACAACAAAAAGTACCTAATGCTGGAATAAGTTGACCATGGTAAAAACTTTACTATAACAGAATTGCATATATTAATATTTGAGTCATGGGGAGGGGTCTACATACCAGTGTTATTTATGAAACACGAAAGCAGAAGACTATATTTCTAGAGCTCACTTGGACTAATATTTAATACAACAAAATTTTCTTAAATATGAATAACCTCCTTAGGGTTTGAGATAGTCCTGTGCAAAAGGCTCTTTATGATAAGGTCTTAATTACCTTTTGAGGACCAACCGTTAGAACTTTTGAAACAATTTTTGAAACAGCTAACATGGGAAAGCTATTTTTTTAATACATCTATCTGCCAAGAAAAACTCTGGATAGTATCTGAAATTAAGAAAAATTAGTACATAAAATCTTTTGACAAACAACAATTATAGACTGTTCCAAGGTCTGAATAACAGTATATAATGCATAGTTGCTTAATTAAATAGATTTAAATTGCAGAAACAATCATTGCTAGTACTTTTGGGGTTCTTTGGATTAAGTTACTATAAATATATAAAGTTATGAAAGATTTATGTTTTAAGAATACCTACTTTGAGAGGCAATATAGCAGAGAGTTGAGCAGACTCCCAACAGGCCCTGCCACTCCCTAAATGTGTGATTTTGGTTATGCTGGTGTATTTGATTATGCTTACCCTCTCTGTGTGTTTCTTCACCAATTAAATAAGGAAAAACGGTATTTCTCACATAAGGTCACTCATCACTAATAGATGAGTGCTGGCAAATAGAACTCAATAAATATCTACTCAATAAATATCTATTATTCTGTTTATTTGAAGGCTTAAGAAAACGTCCACGGAAGAACTCTTAATTGAGCAGTTTGTTTTCCCCCTGCATCTTAAGAGTTAGGAACGAGGAGACCTGTGTCTGAATAAAGGCTCCACCACTCACTATTTCCCCTTGTTTGACAGAAATGAACATCTGCTGGCACCAGGCACCACTTTAGGCATCGAGCGCTATTCTGGGAGTTTTCTATTCTTCAGATATGTCACCACTATCGCAAAGCTGTCTCCTCCTCTGTAAACTAACATCTACCTGACCGATTTATAAGGTTATTTGAAGCTCAAATGAGGCAATATATGTGAAAGCACTTTCAAGATTTTGTGAAGCACCACTGGAGTGAAACTTTTTGGTTAAGATATAAGTACTCTGGTGCAAGCTGTTGGGCATAAGTTGTAGGAATGTGGTTTAGGATGAGTATGTCTGGACCCTCTCAAAGCAAGTTCATTACCTATAGCTCCAGAAAGTGTTTAAAAAAATTTTAATGACACTATAGGCATGCTTCTTTATAACTACAATGTTGTTTATAAAATAGTTATATGCTTCACTATAAAACATTTCTCTTCTTGAACCCAACTCTATGAAGAATATTAACATAACCAATAGTTAGTGGGAGATTTCCCTTTACAAATTGCAGTTGCAAAAAAAATGTAGGGTGATATGTGTTTATGGTCCCAAATTAGCATTATAGTAACTAAGCCAATAATTAACAGTTTCATTAATTACTAAGCGCTTTACACACAATATTTCATTGAATATGAGGCAGGTACATTAGCCCCATTTTAAAGGATCAGAATCCAAGTTACTGCAAAATCCAAGCTCTTAACCACTATGCTACGTTACACAATAAAAATACCAGAACAAAAGAAGCTATAACCATTGCTATCTTCACAAAATCACATACTTAAGAGAACCGGTAGATCAAAGGATTCCAGACAATGTTCTGAGCTTTGGTAATAAAAATGACTTTAAAAAAGTTATTATATAAGTGCTTATGATTCAGTTAACTTTAACTCTTTAAACTTTATGGGTTTCCCTCCACCGTGATTTTAAAAATAACACAGTGCTCACTGAGAAGAAAAAAAAAATACAAACAGCAAAGTAGAATTAAAATAAAAACATCCATAATTCCATCATTCACAAGAACCACTGACATTTTCCCGCTGTATATATTCTTATGTAACTGTCAACTATAGAATTTAAGTAGATTTTGATGACTGTGGTTAAATGTGATGCCAAATGTAACTACTGTATTTGTAATTGGTAGACATAAATTATAGTAAACTTTGTGCGGGCAGAAAATTATTACATTATAGAGATATGTATTTTCAATATCTTCCTAAATTTTCCAATTACAGAAAAACAAGCAAAGAGTAATTTATCTCAGTTGTATAAGCTCAAAAGTATATTGACCATAAAAGAATCACAAATAATCTTTGTGTATGTACACACACACCTACATAAATATACACATACTAAATTTTTTTTTTTCTGGCTGTGTTAGGATTTATAGCTTTCTGAAGGTTTGATAACACTATAAATATTATTAGAACAGGTAAGAAAAAAATTATTTTTCATAGTCATTGAATTTTGCTAGAGTTACACTTATGGGTGATTGAACTACAAAGTTTTCCCTTGTTAAATATTTGCTTAAGACAGAATGTTCAAGATAAGCTAAACTCTTTACAGGAATCATATCGAGAAATTCTACCATTTGTGAAATAATAAAGAGAAGAGGAAAAAAACAGTGACAAACTAGCAGAATAATTTAGGGCAAAGATTCAGGTATTATATAAAATGTATGTAATGCCACATTACTGGCATTTCAATTGAGGTGACTTACACTAAAATCTTGTTCTTTTTAAACTATCACTGGACATAATAATTTATGCAACAAGAAAAGCAAAAGATAAAAAATATGCAGAAGTCCTTACAGGATATGGATCGAGTTTCAAAAATAAACTTTCTAGTGCTTCTTCTTATGTGAGAGGTTTATCCTCGTCATAAACTCTAGGAACCTATTTATATTGCTTAAGTGTGATTTATTCAAAATCATATTAATCTATATAAATAATACTTTTAATGTCAAAAACAATGCAGACTGGCAGTGGGTAAGAATAAGAATGTTCAATAAAACTGTATTTTGAAAGTCAAGAAAAGTATAAGCTAAGGCTAACCTAAAACTGTCTAGACAAATGAAGGGGAATAGATTCTAAAAAATGCCTTTGCATTTTCACTGTACATGAACATGTGTAACAAACATTGTGTTTGTATATTATATTGAAAAATAAATTGTCAGATATTTCTAAATTAGCAAATAAAAATTGTATATACTTCTTAAGTGTGAAAAGGTTTATGTCCTTAAACAGAAAATGATTGGGCCAAAATATTCTCATCCTGTCCATTTAGAAATGAGAAATATAGAAGTCAAATGAGATTAAAAAATAACTAAGGCCGGCTGGCAGGGCACGGTGACTCACGCCTGTAATCCCAGCACTCTGGGAGATAGAGGCGGGCGGATCACCTGAGGCCAGGAATTTGGGACTAGCCTGACAAACATGGTGAAACCCTGTCTCTACTAAAAATACAAAAAAATTAGCTGGACATGGTGGCGTGTGCCTGTAATCCAAGCTACTAGGGAGGCTGAGGCAGGAGAATCTCTTGAACCCGGGATGCAGAGGTTGCAGCGAGCCTACATCGCGCCACTGCACTCCCAGCCTGGGCCACAGAGCCAGGCTACGTCTCAAAAATAAAGTAAAATAAAATAAAGTAACTAGGGACTATTCTCCATAAAAGAGAGTATGTTATACACCCTTTTATTACAGAACATTTCATTTTTTTGATTGCTTGTGGAGAGAAAAGGTTTATGAGGTAATTACATATAATTTTAAACAGGATTCCTTTTAATTTTATATCTATATTTCTCTGTAAAAGTAGTTTCAGCAGATGACTGATTAAATCAATGTCATGATTTATATACATCCTTACTTCAGAGATTCAGCTAACCTTTGAATAAAACAAACTAGTACTACATTTCAAAAAAAAAATTAAAAATAGATAATGATGCTTAAAAAAGATTACACTTCAAATTTAGCACTGTTTTTACAGGGAAGGGAAGCATATTATGCCATAATGTCTATAAATATTTATTGAATAAATAAACATGGTTTACCTGATGTGTTTAAAATCTTGTAAGCTGATTAAATCACAAACATGTTGAATAGGTCTTAAGAAAAACAAGATGAGGCTTTTAAGTAGTTATAAACTATGACAATAGAAAAAAACCTTTTCAGTATCTTTTTTAAGGGTTAAAAACCAAAAATTTAAAAATAGTATCATTAAATCACTGTTTCGGCCTTAATATTTTAAAGAGTAATATATTAGGATATACTGTATCTATTAACAGCATTAAAGCACCTCACACTGAAAATTTCGCTTTGAAGGCTTAAAAGTGATTTTTAAAAACATCACAATAAATGACCATAATTTAAATTCTGACTAGGGGAACAAAAAACCTCAAAACCTAAACCCAACAAATCTGCATTTAATGCTTACAAGTGAAATGTACTTTTCCAAAACATGATACATAACTATCAAATTTAGCTGTCAAAATAAATTATTTATCACAGACAATAAGTAATGTGTCCTGAAGTCCCTTTTTCCTTGAAAGTCATAATACTTCTGGGATTATCTGGTAATACAGTCACTCAAAAACAGCTAAAGGAGTCGGTGCTTAGAGATTCTATGTCCAACTTTATCTGTACAGTTTTAAGGCATTCATAATGGTATGTTAAACAACGAATAATTTATAATAAAAATAGATAAAAACTCTCTTTTAAAAATATCTCAACTGAGAAAACCACAGAAGAGAATAAAGATCGTATTTACCACTGATGTACTCCTTAAGCTTCTATAGCGATGAAAAGACTTTTTTTTGGCTTACAACAGACTTTATGCCTTGAATACTTGGTGTTCTTATACAAATGTGGACCGGAGCTTAAGTTCCGCCTAAAGTTACTGTGAAATTTACACATTCAAGTGTGCTGATTGTTATTAATAAAGGCAGAAAAAGTTAGTTAAAATATCTGGTATTATTATTATCAGTATTCATTGCAAATTATCTTATAGTATTCTCTACTGTAGTGTGAACTTCAGTCTTATGCCAAATAGCAACACAGATTACAGTATCATAGTTCCAATGATGATCAATGACTCAGCTAGTATTAGCCAGAGCAAAGGAGTTTGTTTATAATAAAAAAAGTAAGTAAGAAGCATAGCTTTATTTTAATATCAGTTATTAGAACTGAGCAATGGGCATCTTGTTATCCAGAGGCAGAAATGAAGTTTTCTTTCCTTAAATTACAGAAACAGTCAGGATGGGGGACAGCAGGTGGTGGCAATGGGTTGCTAGCTAGCTGGCTGGCTAAAATACATACCTGAGCTCTACTGGAGCTATGCAACCTTGCTGTGTATCCGTTATTTGTAAAGGCTGACTGAACAAAATTGCCTTCATCATGCAAGCACTGCTGTCTGCACTACAGTAATAAAGAAACACGCTGACAGATACAATGGCTTCAAGTGATAAGCAATCATCAGGAATTTGTAGTGAAATTGTTGGTTGACTGGAAATGTTCTCTATATCTCCAGATGGCATCTGTCCTTGAAGCAGCCATTCATTGCCTAAAAATTAAAAAGGAAATTATTAAGACTGTATAAGACAAGTAGAAAACTGGGACTATCTTATGAAGACTAGATAAACTCAATCAACAAATATTTATTAAAAATCTCTAACTGCCAGGCACTGTGGTCTGTGGGAAGGACATAAATATAAATAATATACACTGACCACTCATTAGAAGTTCCCAGTCTGATGATCATTATATCTAATTATTATAGTTCTTTCTTTGTTTGGATACGATAAATTACATATTTATTCCTGTTAAAATCAAGCTGAATGTAGAAAATATGGCTATAAAGCCTTAATCTCTAAAGTTAAAAACAAATCCTATTAAATTTTAGAAATAAACATATGACACATGATAAAATGGATCATTTTTACCAAATAGATAAAAGTCTTCGGGGATATAAAAACTACAAAATAAAATTTTATCTAGGGAATACAAATGTATGTGCAACTCTATAGTGACTTTCTGCTTAATAATGAATTATTAAATATCTAAAAATAATTTAAAAACACACACACTTATTTATTTAGAAACAGGTACCACTGCATATCTATTCTCTGTGGGCTTAAGTAATGTGAAAACCAAGGGATTTTGTATATCTCATTTTAACACGTAAAACTCTTCCTAGAAATAAACAGATTATCTATAACAAAAATAGAATAAACCACTAACAAATGTTAAGCCCTCAAGAATTAAAATCATCTTTAAATGTCTTTATTCATCTCGACCTTCTCTTAGAAGGAACACACGTGTCATAGTGGGGAAGCACAGACACATACAGACATTCAGCCTAAGAGGGTGGCAGCGACAAGAGTCAGCATTTGGCAAATATATGAAATGCTTTCCCACCATGTAAATGGAGAACACTGAACATTTTCTAATCACTTATCAATTACTTGGGGCATCTGTAAAAACTGGACCATCTACTGAGTGTGATGAAATGCTGTCTACTTTTTAGCTTTTCTGTCTCTTTCTTTTGTTCTCAGGATGAGTCAGCCAACTCAGGGTACCTGCCTTTACCAGTCCTCTTGATGTCTCTTTTAATTTATTGCTTTAGTTTACTGAAAAATCAAATTTGAGAAAAATATGTCAAGTAAGAGTAAGGTGAAAGATAAGAACCTAGAGAGATAAGTACAAAACTTCTATGTTGAAGCTTTTAAAGAATTCTTTTTAAATTCTCTTTAAAATTCTTTGGTTTTCTTTGCTTATTCCTGGACTGGACAGTATCTTTTATCTTATGCATGACTTTGCTAGAGAGATCAGTAGAGAACTTCTTATATTTTATTTTTGTTTTATTTATTTATTTTGAGACGGAGTCTTGCTCTGTCACCCAGGCTGCAGTGCAGTGGCACGAGCTTGGCTCACTGCAAGCTCCACCTCCCGGGTTCACACCATTCTCCTGCTTAAGCCTCCTGAGTAGCTGGGACTACAGGCACCCACCACCACGCTCGGCTAATTTTTTGTTTTTTAGTAGAGACGGGTTTCATCGTGTTAGCCAAGATGGTCTCGATCTCCAGACCTCATGATCTGCCCAACTCTGTCTCCCAAAGTGCTGGGATTACAGGTGTGAGCCACCGTGCACAGCCAACTTCTTATATTTTAAATCAAAGAAAGTAATACTGAGCTATTTTAATGTCCAAATCTAGAAATAAAACAGAAAATGTTTCTTTAGATATTTTTCATATATATCACACACACAACTTGTGAAGTTACAATACACGTAGTGCTTTTATACTGCTTTTTTTGGGCTTAAAACTTGCATATATTCTAACTTCTTTAAGATTATACAGACCAAAATTTGGCTAAAAATAAGTGTTTCTAAAAAACAAGCCAGAAGAGAAAATGTCCTTTAAATTTAAGTGTACAAATGTACTCTATAATATTCAAAAACTTTAAATTATTAGGATTATTGCCTGAAAATTATCTGCTCCTATATAACAAAAATGGCGCCAATATCTTAGACAAATAATAAAGTCTCTATAGACTACTTTACTTGAATATTATCTGTATTTTATATCCCAATGACTCAATATTAATTAGTGTGTCTGACAATGCAGACAAATGTTAATTTGTCAATATCCTATTTTAAAAATTAATATACTGCTCCCACAGTGACACCATTTAATACACTACTCTTACAGTGACTGCTCTTACAGTTACACTGAGAAAAATTAAATTAATGATCTCCAACTGATGTAATACTTCCAGACTTAAACTGGCAGTCTAGGACTTGCTCCGAACCCACAGATAGCTATGGAGTGGCCAGGGTTTGAGTATTCTTCTGTCTACAAAGCAAGCTCCAAAGGTCCTACTACTACATGGTTAGCCTTCTCCCTTGTGGGGAGTGACAAGCAGTGGTTTCCCTACAGACTCAATCACCCTAGAATCAGCCTCCCAAACACTAACCAGCAGTTCCTCCCAGCTAGTCTACCAAGATATCATTATCCTCTTGGTTTAGACACTAAGTTGATATTATAATTGCGAGCCAGTAGCTGCTGCCCTGAGAAAGTCGAAGGTAAGAAGGCATGAATTACCCAGGATTTGGGTAATATACAAAAGTGTGTGAGAGGGTATGAAGGACGAGGAGTTGGGAAGGAAATGGAAAATTGAGTGAGAAAGTGTGAAAGAGCGTGGGAGACCAGGACAGAGGAACATCATTAGAGACAAGTTGTAATTTAGAAGTTCTGAACCACTAAAATTTCACTTTAAAATTTTTGTCCACCAGGTTACAGATGTTGGAAAGCACTACTGCAAGGCAAGCAGTATACTGATTCCTTACCATAGACAAATGAAGTAAGGAGTTAGCTCACACTGTGATTCACAAATAGAAGAAAAGGAGGAATGCGTAACAGTGACTGAAAGGAAGAGTTACAAAAAAAGATGTTAAATAAGGAGGCTCCACTTTATTTTTCTATTTCAGACTTTTTAAGACTCTTTTTGGAACAAGAATAGAATGAAGAATAGGATCAGAATAAGTGATGAGGTATAGGAAAGCCCATATTCCAAGCAATCATGCTAACAACTGACTCGTAACTTTTGGTGAGTTACACTGTTCTTTAATAAAAGGGAGGAAAGACTCTTGAAGACTAAAGCAAATGGCCAATGTGGGGTTGGATCTGGATTCGTTTGTTCACATCATCTCCTTCAAATCTTGCCCATACAGAGTAAAAATATCTCCTAACAAATAAAAAATAACTAGATTAAACATCAAGAATGTACGATGTATTAGTATTTGCAAGCTTATACTCATACCTTCAGCTCTTAGAAACCAGCAACTGGGTACTCCTTCCGTTAGCTTTGATCCTGATGGGAGGTCCAATCTGAGTTTGAACTGAAGAGTCTGGCCAGCACACACAGTCACAGGGGAAAGCCTAATGCTTGGAGCAGATTTAGGTAGTCTGGGTAATGTCTTCTGTTTTTCTACCAGGAATGGGCCATCTACTACAGCATTTTCAGATCTGAAGATGGGGAGCTAGGAAGTAAGAAAATCTGTTATTAAAACATAAGAACTTTATATTATAGAATGAGAAAGCATATTTTTAGACTTTAGTAGAATAATGAAGTTCTATGTCAATGACACTAATTGCTATTCTAGTTTGAATTAGAAAGTGTTAGTTAGAGGCGCTCAAGATTTTTGTAGACACAGAAGTAGTTTATCTTAGCAACAACAACAAAACCCAACACTTATGAATGAGACAGAATAAAAGTAACTGTCCACTATATATAGATGGCAGGAGATTAGCAAAAGTTTATAAATTTAAACACAGTAGATACACATTTTCTTATAATTTTCATTGTCAACTATAAGAAGATGTTACTCATCTTATATCAGAGATCTATGTGAAGAGAAATGACACTTACATTGCAACAGTAATCTGTGTTTTTTATTTTAAAAATATACCATGTAAATTACCAGACTTTCAGAAAAAAACTGCTGCATTTTTTTCAGGTACATGTCATACAACAAGAATTAGTTTGTAACAGATATTTCTCCTTGAAAATTCTATAAGAAACCATGTCCATATCTTTAAAAATTGACTATAACTCATTTAAATAAGTTTCTTCCACAATCTTATTTTCAATGTCTTGAGAAATGTGGCTTCTAAAGCTTTTGTTAGATGATTATTTGGTAATGGATTCATCACAGGGAAACAAAGGCTACACGCTGATCTAAAGATCACTGAAAAAAACAAAAAGCTAAATAACCCAACCCACAGAGCAGGTGTATGTACTGTATGTCAGTATGTCTGTACACTTAAAAACAGATCTGAGTCCTCTCCTTTTTTTTTTTCTTGAAGGTTCATTCGATTCTCTCCAATTTCCAGTATTTTTTTCAAACTCTCAGCACAGATGGAACTTTTATTTTAAGAATAGAAGGATATCCTTAAAGCAGTCCTGCTGGTCTCTTTGTCAAAGAACACAACAGAAGCATCCACTTACTACTCTCCTGGAGACAGCCTAACCAAAAATGCCTGTCAGTGCTGTGAGGATCTTAGTATCATTCTTAAAACCATATCCTTTAACTTATATTTTAAAATTACTTACCACAGATACCATTTTTGTTTCTAAATCCATTATTTTAATTTGATGATTATTGGTGTCTGCCACATACAATAATTGTCCATTCTCTCCAATACACAAGCCTCCTGGTTCATTAAAAGTTGACTCGGTAAAACTGGAACTGGTAACGTTATTTGTGTCTCCAGTTCCTGCTAATGTTGTACAGTTTTTTGTTTTTGGATCCACAACTTTAATCTAAAAAACAAAGAACAAAAAAGATCAATCTCATTTTTGCAGTATTGCAGAATATAGTATCAAGCAAGCTAATTTCTGACTGCCATTAATATTCTCAATAAATCTCACAAAAGGAATAGTTATTTCCATATTTTCTTGAAAAGCCAAACATTCAAATTACAGTCTAAGGGGAGATATTCTATTCTAAGAACTAAAAACTACGTAAAATCCCTAGCTCCATCTTGTCTTCTGGAAGCAATCTTTGATGAAATCATTTCTGGAATTAAAAAAAAATTTTTTTAATTGAATTGTGTTTCTTCACAATGGGACACACTTTCACGACTGAACCGACTTTGTCTTCCTGAGCATCCAGCATTGCCTGAGGATTTGCTACCTTTGTTAAACTTAATGATTGCCAGTTATGTCTCAATTATATTAAATTTATGGTCTCACATCATGAAGTACTGTATGAATATTTATTATCCAGTGATTTTTTGTAAAAAGTAAAAGTGCAATAAAACTTAAAACAATTTAATAGACAAAAATGGAAATGCTGCTGAAAACAAAATTATTTATTAACAGGCATTGTAACTATGCAACAGCTCAAAAACGTTCATTTGTTAGTTGACATATTAATTTCCCTGCTACTTGCCTTCTCTTGATATACTGAATATGTTACTAAGCAGCTTTGATGGGTTACAATTCACAACTATTGGCTATTGCCATTGGAACTGGTTCAGTGCTTTCCCTAGTTCAGAATATCATCACAACCTCTTGGCAAAGAAAGGACCAAGAAAAGAGCAGAACAGGCTGGGTTATAGTTGTCAAATACTGTTACTCCTTTCTATATTTTAGAGTGGCAGTTGTAGGAGGCTCACAGATCTTTCAGCATTTTAAACGCCACACACAAAAAGCAAGATATTATATAATTCTGTCACGACTCACCTTGTGATTGTAGGAGTCTGCCACATAAAGTAAATTCCTTTTTTTGTCCCATGTTACTCCAAGGGGGTGCTGAAGCTTTGCATTGATTCCTACTCCATCAACATCACCAAAAGCAAATAAATTCTTCAATTTTTTTAAAAAGAAAAGAAACAGCAGTTATTATAACTTTGTACATACAGTGTTTTGCTAGGATATGAAGTGAAAATTCAAATAGCTATAAATGGTATTTAAGTTAAAAGGGAAAATGCTGATTTTCATATAAATAGGGTTGGATACTTCATTCAGATTAGAAAAAAATGACAGTATTTTGAACCTGTATTAATCTGTGGTGCTTAGTAGTTTTACTCACAATACTACATCTGGTTAGGAATAGGTCAAATCCACTAGTCTGGTGCTGTTTCCACCCCACTGCCCAACATCTAATTTACATTTTTTTTCTTTTCTCCAATAATCAATGCTTCATCCTTTCTTTCTCTCGGAAACCTTAACATTTATACATAATAGAGCCAGTTCACTTTTCTTAGATGGAGTGTTCCTCATGTTGCTTTATAGTCACCTTTCCTTTGGTTTAACTTTCATTTTGATTCGCAGATAGGCCAAGGATGATCTCTTTTAAATCTTATTAATTTTCTATAATTCACAAAATTGACAGCTTGCTCCGTGTCTGACCGCACTGTGCAAGAGTGACTGTCCTTACCATGGGGTCTCTTTCTCCTCCTACGAGGTGCTTCACTGCTCCATCTTTCAGAGAAATGGTTCTCACTGTACTGCTCTCACTATCTGCTACAAACAAGCAGCTCCAGGGATCTTCAGAGGCCAAGGAAAGGCCTGAAGGTTGGGCAAAACCTGCCTTGTGAGGATAGGCGTTGTTTCGATTCTCTTCATTTCCACTTCCAGCAAACCTAAGGCAGGTTCCTTTTGTTAACTCACTGAAAAAGACAAGTTCATAGGTGGGGTTAACATGTGGTATATTGTGTGCAATTTAGTTCTTAAATAAATGAATGTAAATAATCAAATCAATAGTGATAAGCCTCATAGAAAATAAACTAGTGATCTTGGCCTACTTAAATTGTTCAAGTCAGCTTTCACTGTCATTTTTCCAACCATTAACTTATTTACTCACTGTGTAGGGAACTTCTTACTTTACTTTGACATACACAAAACTGAAATCACTTTCAAATGTTAAACAAGTGATCCCTGATAGAGTTAGAATTATAAGATAAAAATAATGATCAGATTATTGATGAGATAGGTTGGTTTTACTACCTTAAATTCTTAACTTCTTAGTTTCATGCAATATGAGGTTCTTGAAAGGGAACTAAAAAGACTAGCTCTTGATAGTTTAAAGCTTCAATTTGCATTAAAAATGTTTTGTGATCTTGTATATAAATAGAGACTAGCAAAAGGAATTAAATAATAGTTTTTGAAAGATAGCCAGGTCAGACATTACTATTATATGAAAAATGATATAATTGTACATAATTATCTTACAATTGCATGGGATAATTACGTACAATTATATCAATTGTACAAATCAATTTCTTATATACATTAGGGAAATTTCTATTTAAAGAACTATTGCAATGATTCCTTTTGTAATGCAGAGAAAGTTTTAGACCCTGGTTTTTAAGTTTATGCCAGAGAGATTGTAAGGAAGACATGGTAGTGTGTTGTGTTGACGGAAGAGAAGCAGTTGACTCAGGACACAAAATGAGCTAGTCTGTGTAAATCATTTCTGAATATGCAAAAGCCTGAATTCACCATCACTTACTGGCTGATATGTTCCCGTAATAAGTTAGGTAAGGAGCGGGGGACAGAGGCAAAGGGATTTAGCATGCACAAAATATGGCCACTTATTCAAGAAATGTATAAACATAGCAAGTACCATGTATGTAATAACTAATATGCTAAACAAATTAATTGAAAGGAGTCTACAAGGAGTCTTAATACTTTAAAAAAGAGTTTTCTTAATTAAATAAAAAAAAGAGTAGGGAGAAACAATAACTCTTAAAATGCTAAGGGTCATTACTACTTGAAGATCGGTAGTAAAGATAATACATCCTTAAAACTAAAATACAGGTCAGTGTAGTCCTAGTGCCAATTTCCTATTATGAAGGAGAATGACAACTCTACTTATGAGGAAATTTAGGCAGCTCTGAACCATCTATCTCTAAAACAGCCATCACCCAGAAGAGCATATTCTGGCAACTTCTGTTACTTCTGTTTGCTGTTTACAATTATGCCTCATGTAAAATCTTATTGGTAATCTCACTGTTCAGGCTACTATCACCTCCTGCCTCAATAACAGAAATAGGCTCCTCAGTGGTATCTCTTATCTCTGCCTCTAGTCTTGTTCCACTCTGAGTGCTGCTAGTGTTCTTTCAAAAACACAAATCTAATCATGTCACTTCCCAGCTTAAACCTTTTTAGAAAGGCTTGTAGAATATCCAAATCCCTTAAAAGTACTCACAAGGCATGGTGTGATCTGGCTTCTACCGACATCCTTAGTGCCAATTCTTGCCTGGAAAACTTCCCACTCTCCCTAACTCCTACTACTCTATCAGGTCTCTGTTTAGTTGCCTCTTCCAAGAAGCCCTCCTTGACAACCAAATCTTACTGATGTTGCGTCTTCTGCTTACTTATATAAGGAACAATTTCAATTTTTTTTTTTAAAACAGAGTCTCGCTCTGTCGCCCTGGCTGGAGTGCAGTGGCACAATCTCCGCTCACTGCAACCTTCAGCCTCCTGGGTTCAAGCGATTCTCCTGCCACAGCCTCCTGAGTAGCTGGGATTACAGGCGCGCACCACCACGCCCAGCTAACTTTTTGTATTTTTAGTAGAGATGGGGTTTCACCATGTTGGTCAATCTGGTCTCGAACTACTGACCTTGTGATCTGCCCGCCTCGGCCTCCCAAAGTGCTGGGATTACAGGCGTGACCCACCGCGCCTGGCCGAACAATTTCAATTTGCAGTGATTCCTTTTGCACACACTAATTTTTAATTGTTTGCTGATCTGATTCTTCCTCTGTAAGTTCGCTGATGACAGCAACCACATCTTTTCATTTTATCCTTAACATAGTGAGCATATTATTTCATCCCTATTGCCTAGCATATAGTATGTTTCACAAATATTTACTAAACGATTAAATGTCATAACACATTATATAAATGTGTCCAAAGCAACACGCACAAACATAACACACTATTTTGAATATCTGCTATTTTGAATGATCTATATAAATCATGCTTTCTATTAACGGTAACTTGAGATGATCATCTTCCATGGCTATTTGACAGCCTTTCTGGTTAATGGCTTTTACTCATTTATTCTCAAACCCTTACTGAGCTCCTCTTAGGTACCAAATACTGTGCTAGGTACAAGGGACACAAAAATGAATGCGAGAGGATTCTTTCCTTTAAGAGACAGTTTAGTAGGAGGAAATGGCTAAAAATAGGAACAGTCAAAAGAGAGAAGAGAAAGAGGAAGGGGCAGCGGGTTGGGGCAGGAAAACTTAGTGCAGTGATGTAACTACATACCAGGTACGGTGAGGTCACAGAGAAGAGTATGGCCCGTTCTGCCTGGGGTAATGGGGGAAGAGGAAAGGCTCTAAGGAAAAAATATGAGAAACTTGGTAGACACGACCCTTTCATCCTTATATCCTTGTGACAGCAAAGCCACCTATGTTTACTGTACATGTTAGGCACCACGCCAAGCTCTCCACATGTATTATTAATCCTCAAAGCAAGCCTATGAGGTAATATCAAGAAGGAAACTGAAGCTTCGGAAGTTCAAGTGGCTCTCCTAAACTCACACAGATAATAAATGGCAGAGCCAGGATTCAGTCTTAGGCCTGACTACAAAAACTGAGTTATTAAGCACTCTGCTATGTGGTATTCAACTATTTGAATGAATGATTAGAAATAGTTCAACTATGTCTTAAAAGATAAGGGCCCACTGAATATTCTTAGTTCTCTTCCTAGACATTAAGGCGAATGATTCTTTGCAGGTTCCCTGAAGTGAAGTGTGGCCCTAAGACTTAACTCTGGCTGATAAAATGAGAGTAGAAGTGATGTGTATCAGAGTAGAAATTTTAAGAGTCAGTGAGTAACTTACCACCTCTTTCTCTCTCCCTGTGCCAGGATGACTGGCAAAGCTCCCCACAGCTCCAGGCTGTTTCATCAGCATGGGTAACAGAGTAGTGGTCCCAGTGAACCCATGCGAGCGAGCAAGAAACACACCTTGCTTTAAGCCACTGAGAATATGCATTGTGTGCTATGGCAGTATAACCTAGCACATCCTGACTGGTACAGTGAGGATGGTGATTTTGAAAAAAGAAACTCTATGAACACCAAAGTAGTACAGTCTACTCAAAGAGAGAGGCTGTCACTTACTTTTTCTTTGGCAGTTTGCCAGAGTCCAGTAGGAGTGCCCATATCTGATGAGTCCCTGCCATGGCTATCCACAAAATGTCACCTCTTTGGACCTCTGAACCTTTATAAGAATAAATCATTATTATTATATACATATCTGGTTAATACAAACACTCCAATGGTTTTAAAATGTTAAATTTATGGAGGATAACAATATGTTTATGAATCATCTGATAAATAAAAATATTTCCAATGTTTCAAGTTATCTTTGAAAATTTTGTTTTCTTGTGAAAGGTTTACTTTTTTAGACTTGCAATTTTACCCACAACAATTTCACAGGAATCCAAAGTATTCTCACTAGGAACACGTCCTCTGCATCTCTGCATCTGAACTCTGCCTCAGCAGTTTGTTAATTTTACAGTGAGCATTAACAACATTTTTAAACATTTGATTTCTTATTTTACATAGCACAAACTATTAGAAGTGACACTGGCACACATATATTCTGGGGACTGTCTCTGCTTAATCACCTTAAAACTACATCAAAAGCTTTCCACAATTAATTTTTAGTATACCACAGTGTTTCACTTATTCTAGAGCCACAACCTGGGACTACTAAAATGAACAGGAAACATAAGCTAATAAAATATTCCGTTATTTTAGATATACTGACATTCAAATAAAAGGCTCAAAGCATGTGATGCACTCAGAGTAATGCTTAGAGGCAACATCACTCAAATGTTAGCCATGATCATTTAGTGAATCTGGACCTTAATTTTACAGTATTTGTACTAGGAAAATAAAAATACTTTTACAAACTGAACAGCCCTTCAATAGACACCATAGAGGGTAAAAAGTATAATACAACCTCTTCCGCTTAAGAAGTTCGTTAATTTTACAGTATTAACAATGCATGTATTACCAACAGATGATATTTGGTACCTAAGAAAGCATTCAGTTTAAAATTACTTATTTATGTTAAACCTACCATAAATCTAAGATAATAAATCTTTTAGTATTAAACAATGAAAATGAATGAGTTTTATGTTCATGCATAGTCATTGGTATTATCAACTATGGAAATGACCAAGCAAAACAAAAACTTTTAGGAGGTAATAGGAATAAAAACATGGAAAGCCCACGAAAATGAACACTCTTACTCATTCTAACTTAATTTGGAATGTTTTCCACTCACAATATTTCAAAGCCTTTACTGGTTCAAATATTGCTTTTTTCTTTTTTTTGAGACAGAGTCTCACTCTGTCCCCCAGGCTGGAGTGCAGTGGCACGATCTCCGCTCACTGCAAGCTCCGCCTCCTGGGTTTATGCCATTTTCCTGCCTCAGCCTCCAGAGTAGCTGGGACTACAGACGCCCGACACCACGCCTGGCTAATTTTTTGTATTTTTAGTAGAGATGGAGTTTCACCATGTTAGTCAGATGGTCTCAATCTCCTGACCTCGTGATCTGCCCTCCTCGGCCCCACAAAGTGCTGGGATTACAGGCGTGAGCCAACGTGCCTGGCTGGTTCAAATATTTTTAAAATGCTACATGAAAAAATGTAAATGATTATGTTTTCAAGTCCTCTACCCAGTTCTCTCATTTCTCTGAATGAAATGTAATTACTCTTGTGGCAATGTGACAGACCACTAAAAGAAGAGGGCTCCTGAAAGCATTCCTTCACCAATTCCTTAGCTTTGGAACCAGGTGGGTCTGGATTTGAATTGTAGTAGCTACATCACTTTCTAATGTGTGTGCCTCAATTTCCTCATCTGTAAATTGAGCACACCATCACTCTCTACATAAGATTCCTGGAAGGAATAAAACAGTGTAAGCAAAGCACCTCACATGATGCCTGGCACCATGTTAGGTGCTAAACAATTTGCTGTCTTTCAACTTCTATGCCTAGTGTGCTCCCTCCTTTCCCAACCTAGAAAGCTTACATCCAGATATGAACATTCAGATCTCTGCTCAAGCTTCTTCCCTACTCCCTCGCCCCCACCCCACACACACCCATCATTCTTAGCTCCTTACCTTGCCTATTTTTCACTGTAGCGTTTATCACTATCTTACACGTTACATATTTATTAATTTACTGCCTTTCTCTTCTACTGAGCATAAGGTCTAAGAGACTAGCAGCTTTGTTTTATTCACAGTTTTATTAGCAACCCTTAGAACAGTGCTTGGCACATGCCAAATACTCAGTAGGTATTTATTTGTTGAATGAGTAAACTTCCCCCTAGAAACCACAAAAAAGAAAAAAAGCCTTAAAACTATCCTAATGCTGGCTAGTATTTCCTAATAGTACTACTGATTCATCTCTAATCCCAGAAGTCTGCTATACATGTAAACCTGTGCTATTATCCTCTCAAACAATGATGCTGAATGGGAGTGGCGGCCCACCCTAAAAAATGCTGTGGATATTTGATGGGTAATATATTATATGATAATATAGTCATGCCAGATCATTTACATGATGACTACACTATTTTATTATAAATTACCCTTATTTCTTCTCTATTTTTTATATATATATAAAAAATACAAAGCACAGGTGGATTATATTACCTATGAATTTCACTTTAGGTATGGTAAAGGAGGCTTTTCTTAAAATGTATTATAGGAAGGGGATTTGGGATCTGATAGGGCTGAGAACTCCAAAGCCACCCATAACAATAAAGCCTTTCAATATCTCTAACAAGCTTCCATTCATGATAAAAACTCTTAGCAAACTAGGATCAGAAGGCAATTTATTTAATCTTATAAAGAACATTTTTAAGAGAGTCGCAACAAACATCCTACTTAAGAATAAAATACTACAAACATCCCCCGAGAATAAAAATGAGACAAAGATACCCACTATCAACACTTCTATTTAACACCTTATGGAGGTCCTAGTTTGTGCAATAAAGAAGGAAAAAGAAGCAAAGTATAAAAAGATTAGAAATAAAACTGTAGTTATTAGCAGATTACATAATTATATACACAGAAAATCTTTACAATTTTATAGAGAAATTTAGCAATGTTGTTGGGTATAGGGTCAATAAGCAAGGATAAATTCTTTTATCGGTTTACAGCAGCAAACAAATATAAAAGAAAATTTGTAACGCCATTGAAAAACATCAAACACCTAAGGGTAAATCTAGCAAGATTTATAGCCTTCTACACTGAGAATCATTATTGAGGGAAATACAGACAGATATTTTTATACAACTTATCTTGATTGAAAAGTCAGCTCCAGCCAATGTTAGGACCTTTTGGGTAACAAGACTGCAAGCAAGGTTGACCAAGTAAATGAAAATAAAAACACTCCATCCTTTCAGCTTCTCAGGTCATAAGTTTTGGAGTCACCTTTAATTCCTCCTTTCTCTCACATGTCACGCATGATCCATCAGCAAATTATGTAGGCTCCTTATTCAAAACATATCCAAAATCTGACCACTTCTCACTACCCCCACCTTGACCTAAGCCACCATTAGGGATTACTGCAAGAATTCCTTCTGAACTGGTTTGTCATCCTGTTCCCACCTTGAAAACTGCCTCTTTCTTTCTCTTTCACATCAATGTCCCACTCCAAGAAAATCTCAGAAGGGTGAGTTAGGCAAATTTAGCTCTAAGCTTTAGGAACAAAAACATTTGCTTTTCTTAGCTTGCTTTTAGAGCCTCTGTCTTGGCAAAGGAGAGCTATGTTGGTGCAGAGCTGAGTGAAAGATCAAATTTAACTCCATTATCTAGTTCTCCAAACAGGTCAGTCTAGCTCAGCTGGGGCTTACTGTAATAAGGCAAAAGCTTTCCAGTGATAGATAAAGTATGGGCATTGGTTTAGTTTTGGTCTCTGTGTATTTATTTCCTTCAGATGCCCGAGGAATGAGAAAAAGTAGAGAAGCAGTGGCAGTGTCAGGTCAGGGTTCAGGTGTTTGGAATTCTACATATCAACTTATGAGGATAATGACTATTATCACCCAGGTCACTTTCTGTGTTGATGGTACCGAGCTAATCATTTTACATGGATTATTTCCTTCAATTTAACAATCTTAAGAAGTCTTATTATCATCATCTTCATTTTATAAAAAGCCAGCTTCAAAGAGGCTAAATAATTTGCTGAAATTCACCCAGCTAAACTTGGAAAATGAATTCATTAGTGAATCTGACTCTAGACTATGAGTGTTCTGATGAGAATGAAGGAACTATGGAAGCGAGCTTGTGCTCTTTGGTTCAGTTCTCTGCTTGCCCCCTTTTCGCCCTCCCTTCTGCCTCTGATCCATGGACTTAGCTCTGGTAACAAGCACCCAAGTGCATTTCTGTCTGTGATCAGAAACAGGGATCTGATTAAATGTACCCACAGCCTTCTACTCCGGGATGCATAGTGAGGTTTACCCTTAACTCTGCCTTTCTCTCCCTGTACCCCTGGGAATGCTCTATGGTTGGATAATGTGTTTAAAGTTTATTTTCTAGTCCCTTGCCTTCCCATTTTTGGTTTGGTTCAGACCATCAGCATCTGTTCGTGACACTTTATGACAAAATTCTTATCTTATAGAAAACAGTGACAACAGCAAACAAACACGTATATTATATTACGCTTTCTATGCACCAGACACTGTTCTAAGTGTTTTACATATATTAATTCTTATCCTCATGATAAGCCTTTCAGGTAGGTACTATTTGTATCGTCAATTTAGATGGGGAAGTTGAGGTATAAAGAGGCTATGAAACTTGTCCAAAGTCACACAACTACTAAGATGTGGACCTGCAAACCTAGCTGGTCTGGCTCCAGAGTCCCTGCTCACAGCCACCGTGCTACAACTGAAGAGTTTGTTTTTGTAAACAAAAAAAGTTAAAAAAAAAAAAAAGTGGACTGGCATTTATGTCTATCAAAGTAACAAGAGTCATATTAACAATTTACAACTGTTCATCCTGGAGTGTGGACTCCAAAGCACATAGTTCCATCACTGAGTACGGGCATTAGTTTTGTTCCCTCTAACAAGAATGTGGTAATCATGAACATTTCCATTTTAAATTAAGAGTATACTTAGACCTACACAACAAACCTGCACACATACCCCCAAATCTAAAATAGAAGGTAAAATTACAAAAAAAGAGTGCACTTAATATTACTAACTTTC